AATTCTTTAATGGGCTAAATAAATAAATAAATAAATAAATAAATAATATTTATAAAACAAACACTGAACAGTATTAAAGACCTCCTCTTTCATTGTTATCACCACACAACCTTAGTGTTATCATTTATGCACCAGACATAAGGAGAGGACAGCATTTTCCACATCAACAACTTGATGCGAGGACCTGCCATTATGTGATGTAAACTAAACACAGATCAGCAAAGGAAGATTAGGTGGCTGAAGGTTTCAGGATTAAGTTTTGACAAAGTGTGCTTTCTTGGCATCTTCATTGTGACTCTTTTTAATAAAAAGTACTGACTTTAATACAGTAGACACTACCACAGATGAAAGATGTAATGAACAGTCAGTGCCAGCCGAAAAAAGCAAGTCTCAAAAATGTCTCTGAAAAGCAAAACCAGGATTATTTCTGACATAGAAAGAGTGAACACAATGGAAGGGCTGCACAAAAGAAAAGGGACAGAACAGTGGCAAGTTTCAGGTACAAGCAGGATAGCAATAGGCAGGAAATAAGGGTAAGAGAGTGGAAAGCCTTGGATGCAGGAGAAAAACAGCACTGATATGCTATCAAGTTGTGATTCTAAAACAACATAAGCAAAACATCCAAAACAGTTGTAATAGTTTGGACAAGCTTCAGCAATGTGAAGTCCCCGAAGATGAAAACTGCAGTACAAACTGTATGAGAGGACTGTAGGGTGGTACATACTTTCAGCTGGTATGGCCGTTCCTGCCTCTTGTTCAGATCTGACAGGCTCTGCGAGAAGCAGTGCGACCACAAACACAAAAGGAACTGTAAGGACCACTCTTCTCAGAAGGCAGGGTGCCAGCATCTTGGGAACTGCTACTTCTCTGTTCATCAGGAGACACAAACAAGTCAATGAGGAACATTACAGATACAAGGGGTTTGTTACAAAGGACTTAATGTCCCTGACACCTAAAGCATTGGCAGTCCTCCTTCTAAAGAAAAGAGAAAATATCAGCAGATCTACAGTATGGACAGAAGTTCTGTACTTTCTCACCAGTGCACATAAAACCTAACTGGGAGTGAATTTCCCTAGACATGAAGGAGAAAATCAGAAGTCCCTAGACAGTTAAAACCATTTTATTTGCAGGCTGGGTTTTATTTGCCAGTGACTTTGCCTGCTCTGTGACCTCAATCTTTTTTCTACATACACAGTCCCAGACCAGCACATGACTCTGTTAGACTTTGAGATCAAAACTGCAGGGATTATAAACCTGGCTGAAACAGACCTGAACCTGGAAATGGAAGTTTTTACCCACTCACTTGCTTTACTGATGCACCATCTTTTCACAAGTGTAATGACTAGAGCTAACGATTATCATTAACTATGCACCACACTGACCACAAACTCCTTTATTAAAACAGCTGAAAGAAAAGACTTTTGTTAAAACTCCACAAATTCATAGGCAGAATTTCTAACAGTAAATGCATCAAAACACTTTAACCTTCTGTTTCCCTTCCTAATCTGGGCTTCAGACCTTTATTTGCAGGCATCCATTTGTTCCTGAACATCACAGCCAGGGCAATCTGGTCCAGTGACACCTCCTCTTCACACAGAAGTAAATATAAGTACACGGGTGTCAAATGAAGTATTTTCTTGATCCAACAGGTAAGTAATTCAGATCAAGAGGGAACACAGAAAACTTGGACTGGCTCAAGCTGCAACTGTCTAGCACAGATTGCAATCCAAATCTCAGCGATCCAGGGAAAATACTAGGGTGGTCCTTAGTTCAGCCAGGTTTACCTTCCATTCCTGTATGTTCTAATGGAAAAAAGAAAGAATCAAATAAGGTTAAGTTGCAGCAACACAACAACACCCAGAGGAAAATTCTCTTTAGCTGAACCCAGGAAAGCAGGACAGTATTCCGTCTCTTCCTGTTTTACATCAATGCACACTAAGCAAAAGATGTTGCATAAGAGCATCAAATCTGCATGTGCTGAATGCAAGAGTAGAGCATTCCCCAAACCAGTTTGTTTTTCACATTTGGAACAGCAATAGGCAGAGGCAGGAAAGGAAAGGTTCTTCCCCATCTTGCCACAAACACAGAAAGGAACCAGCTTGCTCTTTGATGTATGCAGCCCACTGTTTCAGACACGGCTGATGTGAAGCTGCGAACTCTGCACAAACACTTGCAGCATGTGCAAACCAGCAAATTCATCCAGGAGAGGAGAAGCATTATATACATACCCTTCCCGTGCACCTACACCCCTCAGCAGGGGATGGTTCAGAAGCAAGAGACACACATGTACACATAAAGTCACAGATCTAATCAGTCCCACATCAAATAATAGATCCGGTAATGTAATTCCTATAAACCTAAGAACTGTGCTTGCTTTCCCTCTCACTATTTAGAAGTAACCTTACGTGATCCTTTTTCTCATTTCTACAACCCTTAAAATAAAGGGATTAAAATAATAACAAGCAGCTTGTGTTTTCTCTTTTTATCAATGGTGATCTGCAATCAAAGCAAGTACAATCAAAGACACCAGGCTTTGCAACAGGATGCAGCAGTGTCTCCAACTAACTGTAAATTAGGATAATACCAGCCTCCTTTGAAAGAACCTAATGCAGAAGTGTGCTCGTCAGTAGGAGCAGAGGCTATTCTCACAGTTGACCATGAGTGCTAGAAAGGT